AAATGACACGAATAAGTTATAAAAAATTTAAAAATAAATTGGACAAATAAATTATAGAAATAAATGACAAGAAATGTATACAGATAAATAACAGAAAATTAATCGAAAAATAATAGAAACTGCATGAATAAGTAACAGGTTAATGTTTAAATGAAAAATTATCACATTTGTATAACATTGGTAAACCATTCACGAACTCTGAATTGTTACTCTATCCCATGAATGTGAAATTGAAAATCTTCGACGTAAAAAGAAATACTTGAGGGATTGACCTACTCCGGATTCGAGGAATAAAGGGACGAAGGTTTCAACCCTCCTACAGGGAAGGTAGGATAAACTGTAAGAAAATAATCCTTCCCAGATTTTAAATGAAATGCCTTCCTCCTGTAGACCCTTCGTAAATCCGTCTGCCAACAGGTTCATCGGTGCAAGTGGATACCCATTCAACTCGGAATGCTTTTCAACTCTGCCGTTCACTTTTCTGCTTTTTACTTCGATATTATTCGACCGTTCTCCGGTGAAGATATCTTTTAATAATATAGTTCTTCAGGAGGATTCATAGACAGTGAAACAAATGTAAATTTGATAGTCAAAAATTTGATGTAAATAGTGGATGCTAACGTCAACTTAATATGTACTTCAGTTCAGTTCATTTTTTAGTTTATTCTTCTCTCATAACAAGATGGCGTCTGAATGGCTTTTTCTTATTTTGTTCATTAACGCGTGCTTAAGATATGATTGATATTTTAAGTTTGAATATTGCTAAATGTAAAAGACTCGAAACCTTAGCAGTTTCGAAATTTTATAGTATTAAAGTTTGGAAGTATTAAAATTTCAAAAGTTTGAAGTTTTTCATTGTAAAAATTTTAAAGTGACAAGATGTCAAGGTGCAAATATTAGCGAAGTTAATACTGCTTTCAGTAAATAAAGAAGAAGAAAATGAACTATACAAATGCAAGAAATGTACAATTAATAATAACAGAAATCGCGTAACTTGTTAAAACGTGCGCTATAATAAAATCGACATTAAACAATTAAACTATGTCAATGATCCTATTTTCGAATATACAATGTACATATTGTAAATATAATTCTAATAAAAAATTCGAAAGTTGCAAACACCAAACTACAAAAATTTTAGTCTAAAGGTTCCAAAACGTAAAATTTCCAAAATTCCAAAGTTCAAAAATTCCAAAGTCTCAAGATCGCAAAATTTCTAAAATTCCCAAAATTCCCAAATTCCCAAATTCCCAAATTCCAAAATTCCCAATTCCCTAAATTCCCAATTCCCTAGATTCTCAAATCACTAGATTCCCAATTCCCTAGATTCCTAATTCCTTAGGTTCCCAATTCCCTAGATTCCCAATTCCCTAGATCCCCAATTCCCTAGATTCCCAATTCCCTAGATCTTAATTTCCAAAATTGTAATTCCCAAATTGCCAAATCCCAAAATTGCCAATTCCCTGTATTCCGAACTCACTAGATTCCCAATTCTCAATATTCCAAAATTCCTAAATCCCCAAATCCCTAAATCCCAAAATTCCCAAATCTCAAAATTCTCAAATCCCAAAATTCCCAAATCCCAAAATTCCCAAACCCCAAAATTCCCAAAATTCAAAAATTCCCAAATCTCAAAATTCTCAAATTAAAAAATTCCCAAATCCCCAAATCCCAAAATTCCCAAATTCCCAAATTCCCAAATCCCAAAATTCCCAAATCCCAAAATTCCCAAATCCCAAAATTCCCAAATCCCAAAATTCCCAAATCCCAAAATTCCCAAATCCCAAAATTCCCAAATCCCAAAATTCCCAAATCCCAAAATTCCCAAATCCCAAAATTCCCAAATCCCAAAATTCCCAAATCCCAAAATTCCCAAATCCCAAAATTCCCAAATCCCAAAATTCCCAAATCCCAAAATTCCCAAATCCCAAAATTCCCAAATCCCAAAATTCCCAAATCCCAAAATTCCCAAATCCCAAAATTCCCAAATCCCAAAATTCCCAAATCCCAAAATTCCCAAATCCCAAAATTCCCAAATCCCAAAATTCCCAAATCCCAAAATTCCCAAATCCCAAAATTCCCAAATCCCAAAATTCCCAAATCCCAAAATTCCCAAATCCCAAAATTCCTAAATCGAAAAATTCCCAAATCCCAAAATTCCCAAATCCCAAAATTCCCAAATCCCAAAATTCCCCAATCCAAAAATTCCCCATTCCCAAAATTCCCAAATACCAAATTCCCTAAATGCCAATATTAAAAAATTCCAAAGTCCCAAGTACCCACAATAAAATAACCAAAAAACCTCACAGTTCCAAAAATTAAGAATCCACCCCTCCATACCCAAAAATCCTCAAAAACGAAAAAACCGAAATCAGTCGTTCGGATCGCGCTATGCAATATGACAAGAGTTAGCTCGGCGTTAAACAATTCAAGGCTATCGACAGAAAGCTTAGGAAGATTTAATCGCGTGATGAAAGCGCCGGCATCAGAGAAGGCATCCATTGAAAGGGAAGAAAGGAAGAATGAGAAGGCGTTTAAAACTTTACGGACAAGTCTGGTGACTTTACGCGATGCTAAACAAAAGTGTCGTCTCCGAGGACAAAGATCGTAGAACCTACCCCCATTCTATTTCCCGGATACAAAAGGACGGAACGAAGGTAATGAAAGAGAGAGAGACAAAGAGAGAGCAAGATGTATAGAGAGAAAGAGAAACGTCAGGGAAGAAGGATCGCGAGGTGTCAGAGATTCCTCGATACCCTGGAGATTGTTTCTTTCTCTTCTCAACCAGTTTTTTTTTCATCGTTCGCTGTTTCTCAGGAAGGTCGACAGCCAATAAGGAACCCCGACACCTCATCGAGCAGCCCCTTTCTTCGGGGAAGATGGAGAAAGAGAGCGAAACACGAGTCGTCTCTTTGTTTGCCAAGAGAAAACGAAAGGTTGGCTCGGATGATAGCCGCTTAATTACTTGGGGAATTCCTTTTGAACATTTAGGAAACGGAAGAAGTTTCCTGATTGCAGTGTTCCTTTTGTGCAACGGGACTCGAGATTAATTCTGTTTCGTTAATTAATTTTCAGATCTTTCCATTTTATTATTGCCGGAAGGGGGATTTATAAACATTAAAATATTGGGAGTAGAATTAGGGAACTACAGGGGTAGGAAACAAGGGATGCTATGGATAGAGGAATTTTGAGATCTAGTGATGTATGAACGTAATAGTTGTTAATTATATGGACTGGTTAATTATATTATAATATTTGATACAAAGGATTTCTAGAACACTACAATTGTAGTTTGGTATTATTTAAATTTGAATATTTAGGTATTAAAAAATTTGAAATTTTAATATTTGAGAGTGCAGAGGGTTGAAATGCGAATTTTTAAGCATTCAAAATGGTGGAATTAAAATAATCTAGTAATTGGAAAATTTCTAATTTGGATGTTTGACTGTTCAAAGGGTTGAAATAGAATATGTGACTGTGCGGAGGGTTGAAATTCGAATATTTGAGTATTCAAAATCTTACAATTAAAATATTCTAGTATTAGAAAATTTCTAATTCGAACGTCTGAGTGTTCGAAGGGTTGAAATAAAATATTCGACTGTGCAGAGGGTTGAAATTCGAATATTTGAGTATTCAAAATCTTGCAATTAAAATATTCTAGTATTGGAAAATTTCTAATTCGAACGTCTGAGTGTCCAAAGGGTTGAAACAAAATATTCGACTGTGCAGAGGGTTGAAATTCGAATATTTGAGTATTCAAAATGTTGCAATTAAAACATTCTAGTATTAGAAAATCTAATTCGAACATCTGAGTGTCCGAAGGGTTGAAATAAAATACTGAAATATTCAAAGGGTTGAAATCAGAACGTTCTCCTATTAAAAAATTTCCATTTCGAATATTAGGATCTCCAGAAACTTAAAACTCGATAACTCAGAAGATTAAAATCCAAACGTCAACAATATATAATAAATACATAAAATAATATATCAGTAATAAAAAATAATATAAGCAATGTATAGGTACAAGAATTACTCGTTTATAAAAAGAAAATTCCAATAACGTGTTATTACAAGAAAGAAGCCCGAACACCTCAGAAAAGTTCAATTAAAATTAACAATGACAGTCGGATCGAGTGGAGGTCGCGGTAGCAATTAACGGCTGCGGCAATAATCGTGCCGTTTGCGAGAGAAGGCGAAGGAGGTGGAAATTAATTGGGCCATTTTTCATGTAACATAGAATGGAGGACGCGTACGAAGCAGGAAGCACCACGCGAGGTTTGTTATACCACGAGAGGTATCGGGCAATCAAGTTAATGAGGAAAGAGGAACGTGGCCGATGAGGAGAGCGAAAAAGAGACACAAAGAGGAGGGGTCCTTTCACCTAATGGTTTGAGAAACGTGCTCGTTGGCCCGCGCCATGCCATTTATGGTAACACCGTACGAACCTTGCGACGATTTTCGTTGACCCTTTGCTTCTATCGTTTCCTTCCTTTTGCCCTCGATAAAGATCAATTTATACAGGATGTCGGGGAAAAAGCTACGAAACGTTTAGATAGTGCTCGTTAACCCTTCACGGGAATCTAGGGTATTTCGTGAACCTACAAAGGTCCCATTTTCGAATTTCAGATTCTGATCGGATACTTTGATATTTAAATCACGAAAGTCTCATTCTGAGATCTTCTTAGAGTAATTTTTGAATTTTACGCTTTGGATGTGCAAATATTTCTGAATAATTGGAGATTTGAATTTTAACACTTTGAGTAATCAAATATTCAAAGTTCACTGTGATATTCAGGATGGAAACGAAAACTAAATGTTTGTAAAAATTAATCTGTTTTATACATAGAAGTTAGAGAATTTTAATTCTTGAGTATTAGTTGTTATTAACGTTGCTGTTGGTATTGGTGTAAGTTTAAAAGATTCTTTGATTATCTTTTATTTGACAAGTTCTATACATGGAAGGTGCTAATGTAAATCATCTTTACGTTATTCACACTTACCCTGCGTCATCGGTGTGTAGATTCAAGCCGATTCCTGACACGCATGTCCACTTTAAAATTTTTCTAATTCTCCCTTGCTAATAGTACACTGTATATCCTGAAACATAGACAATACAAATTCATCAAATATATTTTAAGACAAGAAGTAATAAATTCTTACTAAAATATAGATCGATGAAATTAAGGCTATGTTGCTTTTAATTTATAGTTGGTTGACACTCTTTTTAATTTTCATATTTAACTGCTTATTTTTCTTAATTAGTACTTAATCAAAAAAATTATAATTTAATATTTTAGGAGACTTCGTTGTAACAATTTACATCATGTATGTTAGGTGAAATTTATGTAATTTATGTTATGAAAGTTAGATGCAATTAATTTAATTTATGTTGTGCAAGTTAGATGCAATTAATTTAATTTATGTTATATAAGTTAGATGCTCTTCATTTAATTTATCTTATTAATTTATCATGTAAATTAGATGCACTTAATTTTGATTTACATTATGTAAGTTAGATATAATGAATTCAATGTACATGATGTTAGTTAGTTGCACTTAATTTTGATTTACATTATGTATGTTAGATATAATAAATTCAATATACATGATGTAAGTTAGATGCACTTAATTTAATGTACATTATGTAAATTAGATACAATGAATTCAATGTACATGATATAAGTTAAAAGCACGCAATTTAAATGTACATTATATAAGTTAAAAGCAATTAATTAATGTGACGTACTCATAAATATGTATTCATAATAAATAAAGTAGTATAATGAAATTTCTCGACTCCCAACAATATTTTTCTCCATCGACTTTTCTCTCTTCAAAGGATCGCGTGAAAAGAGCGAAAAAGGTTTATTCCTTCCGACCCGGTCTTTTCTTTTTTTTTTCTTCAGGTCTCGAGGTACGAGTTCATTCTCGTTCTCCCCTTATATTCCCCAACCTGTCCACTATTTTTCGCCGAATGTCGAGAGGATGGTCTGGCAATTGCGAGCCGCCAGGTCCATTCGACAAACGTACTCGAAGCACGCAGCCACCATGGACGAAATAAGAACGTATTCCCCGAGCGATTGAACCGCTCTCGATGTAATAGAATTTTTCTATCCCGTCGAATCCCCGTGAAATATCTGTCCGTTCATCGAACGTTATCCACGATATATTTTCACGTCAAATATTCTTTGACGAAATTTACATCTATCAGGTCTGATGTCTGTTCAAATGAACTTGCGAATTTTTCACAACGAATTCAAATGCAAAATTGTCGTTCTTTTCTTAAGAGTATATTTAATTTCCGGAATTTTAAATTCTTAGATTTTTGGACTTTTGGATTTTCATCATAGATTTTTTGCTTTTTGGACTCTTGAATTTTTGGATTTTTAAAAATTAGCAAAATCTGCTTAAACCTCCTTAAACCAAATCACACAACCATCTCCTTAATCATCTCACTTTGCCCAATACCCACAAGCTTTCCAAAGAACACACAATCTGTCCCTCACTGTTCTAAACATCCCCCAACTGCATCACATTACAATCTATTTAAATTCGAAACAAAGAAAGTGAATTTAGAACCAGTTTCACGAAGATCCGCATCGCATTCGTCTCCGAATTAACGTTCAGTGATCCTTTACTCGGTTCGCCTGCGATAAGCCAGCCTTAACGCGAATCGTCGGCCGATTTCGGGACTCGCTGCGATTTCCGCTTCGGAATAGCGTAAACAACCGCACGCGTGTAAACGCGATCAGATTTACGAGCGGAGGCATTTACCGCGATAAGCCACGACGAGCCGTTAATGCGAACCGTCTGCAATTGCAGTAGGGAATCGAGCGTTTAAAGCACGCCACACGTTTCTCCGAACTTTTCTTTTCTCGCAAAATTGCGGGCGAACGATGACCGTGGACGTCGCTTCCGGTGGAAACTTGTTACGTTTTTCGAAACTTTTCGACGTTCTATTATAGCGAAACTTATCGACACAATTGAATTTATGATGACTACGACAGAACTTTCAGTTGTTCTAATGACAATATTTTGTTGAGGGGAAAATTTTCTGTTTTAATATTTAGTTAAGTTTGGGTTTTGTATTGGGAGGTTTAATTGTACTTATATCGTATATACGACGTGTGGAATTATTATGCAAGGAATTAGTAAGGCTGCAATTATTACGCGTGAAATTACTAAGCGTGAAGTTACTACGCGTGGAGCTACTGCGCGGGAGATTACAACGCGTAGAATTACTACGCACGAAATTGCTAAGCATGAGATTATCACGCACGGAATTACTATGAGTGGATTTACAACGCATGGAATTACTACGCGTGAGATTACCACGCGTGAGATTACCACACGTGGAATTACTACGCGTGGAATTACGACGCGTGAGACTACCACGCATGGAACTATTACGCGTGGATTTACCACGCATGGAATTACTACGCGTGAGGTTACCACGCGTGGAATTACGACGTGTGAGACTACCACGCATGGAACTATTACGCGTGGATTTACAACGCATGGAATTACTACGCGTGAGATTACCACGCGTGGAATTACGGCGCGTGAGACTACCACGCGTGGATTTACAACGCACGGAATTACTACGTGTGAGATTACCACGCGTGGAAGTACGGCGCATGAGACAACCACGCGTGGATTTACAACGCATGGAATTACTACGCGTGAGGTTACCACGCGTGGAATTACGACGCGTGAGACTACTACGCATGGAATTATTACGCGTGGATTTACAAAGCATGGAATTACTACGCGTGAGATTACCACGCGTGGAATTACGGCGTGTGAGACTACCACGCGTGGATCTACAACGCATGGAATTACTACGCGTGGAGTTACCATGCGTGGAATTACCTATACGTACAATTACTATGCGTGGAATTACCTATACGTACAATTACTATGCGTGGAATTACCTATACATAGAATTTCCATGCGTGGAATTACCTATACGTAGAATTACCACGCGTTGAATTACTTATACATAGAATTACCATGTGTAAAAATATCATGTGTAAAATCACTACATGTAAGATCACAACGCATGAAACCAGTACTTCCTTGGAATTTTAAGTGAAATTTTAATACAGATATTTATGTCTTTAAATTAAATATTAATTTTTTGCCCCGAAGCTATTTTAATTTTTCTTAACATAGTTTTTTATAAAAAAAGTTCTACAAGATCCCTGCCACGGAATTTTAATTGAAATTCCACCTTAATTAGACGCAACTTTTATTGCTCACAATTTTATCGATCTGAACATATTATAATGATATTCCGAACTTATTGTATAGTATTATATCAGGTAGATATTTGATTCCCGATATTCACGAAGAATGGCGGAACGCGAATTTCAGCTCTTCAGAAGTTGAAATCGAATATCACGGAGACGCAGCTTACACAGAAGCTCGGGAAGGGAAGAGGCAGAAAATAGTAGACGAAGGAGAAGATAAAAGAGTCTGAAATGTTTTTTCTCTCCCTAGCGACGTTCTAAAGCTTACGAAGCCGCCTCTTGTCCGTCAGTCGTCAACAATATCCGTGTTTTTCGATCAAAGCCTTTCTCCGTCCACGAATCTCGTTCGGTCGATTGAAAGAACGCCCCTTGGGACTATTTACCGACGCCTTTTTCCAAACACCCTTTACCTTCTTCATTGCTTTCACTCGCTAAATGGATCCTCTTCTTTCAGCCATTTAACTTCCAACAACCTTACAATTTTATGCACGTTTCTTGTCCGCGAGTTTCTTTTCGCCAACTCGATTTTCCTTATGTTTTCTTACATTTTTTCTCCGTATCGCCAGAGGTTGATCGATCGAAACGAATCTCGCAGAGATGTTTTCTATTTTAAAGTCGCTAAGTCGTGTTTCATTAGCCAGCCAACTGGGGTAATTTGCTTCCAGCATTCTCTTCGAGAACCACTTTTTGTCGCGACGATCTCTCCCCCTTCAAAAACGAGCAAAAAAGAATTCCACGAGTTTCGAAACAAAGGGAATTATAACTCGCAAATTTTTAGCTCCGTTTCTCCATTCCTGCCCGTTTTTCGCCTCCGCGGTGAATTTACGCGGAGCCGTTACGTTTTAATTCGTCCTTTCGTATCGGGCTCCGCGGAGATCTCCATTTTTTATCGATTTCGCCATTAATGGACTTTTTTCCACGCCCAGTAGATAATTAAATATTGATACGCGAGCCGGGTAATGTTAGTAATAATATTAATATCCGTAATGAATTAGGGATCATGTTCAATATTTTGCATCTGTTACATCTTAAATAACAAGTTTTACAAAGATATTTAATGGGTGAAATGATACGTGACGGTGCAGTGGACGATAATTATACGTGCGGAGATGTAATGTATGGTAAGTCTGTGCTTGAAAATTCTACCGCTACAATTCTACACCTGCGTATCTAATAGATGGCAATTTTATACGACGGGAATCCGTGTGGAGGGCCTGATACATGGATATTGTATGCGTGGAAATTCTACAGGTGGTAATTCTATGTCGGCGTAATTCTATGAATAACAATTTTGTAGGTGGAAACTGTGATAATCTTGCATATGGTAATTTTACATGTGCGGATACTATGCGCAGTGATTCTATGCATCAAGGAATTCTACGTGTGGTAATTCTATGCGTCGAGTAATTCTATACGTGGTAATTCTACGCGTTTAAGAATTCTATACGCGTGGTAATTCTACGCGTCGAGTAATTCTATGCGCGTGGTAATTCTACGGTCGAGTAATTCTACGCGCGTGGTAATTCTACGGTAGAGTAATTCTATACGCGTGTTAATTCTATGCATCGAGTAATTCTATACGCGTGCTAATTCTACGCATCGAGTAATTCTATACGTATGGTAATTCTACGCGTCGAGTAATTCTATACGCGTGGTAATTCTACGCAACGACTAAGTCTACGCTTGGTAATTCGAATGCGCTGTAATTCTGCGCGTGGTAATTCGTATGCGCAGTAATTCTGCGCGTGGTAATTCGTATGCGCAGTAACTCTGCGCGTGGTAGTTCTCTACGCGTCGACTAATTCCACGCGTGGTAATTCTACGCGTCGACTAATTCCACGCGTG